TGCAAACCGCTGCAAACCGCTTCAAAACACTGCAAACCGCGGGAAAAATGCTGAAAACTGCTGAAAACCACCGGAAAACGCTGAGTACTGCTGCAAAACAATGCAAACTGCTGAAAACTGCCGCAAACCACCACAAACCGCTGCGAAACACATCAAAACGTTGCAAAACGTTGCAAAACGTTGCAAACTGCTGCAAACCGCTGTAAACTGCCGAAAACCACCGCAAAACGCACGACACGTCGTTATACACATGAACACCGAGATGAAAGCCGACTCCAAACAGGGCAGAAATATCCAAATATCAATGAGCAAAAGATTTATACAGAATAGACATTAGGCGGTTAGCGCACAGACTTGGGTGTGTGAATCTTTATCGGGTCAAAAAAGTGAATTGTACATGTCCTGATTTTAGGATACAAAAACTGTAAATATTGTTCATTGAAGGGTGCAAAAACTGTAAGAATTGCTCAATAAGGGTACGAAAACTGTAGATATTTCTAATTAAAGGTTAAAAAATAGTCAATATTGCACATTAAAGGATTAAAAAGTGTAAATATTGCACATTGTAGGGTAAACAAAATAAATATTTCACATTGTTGGGTAAAAAAGTGTAAACATTGCTCATTAAAGGTTCAAAAACTAAATATTTCACATTGTAGGATAGAAAAAACTGTAAATATTGCTCATTGAGGGGTACAAAAGCTGTACATATTGCTCCTTAAAGGTATAAAACTGCACATTGAAGCGTGGGATATTGCACACCAAAGATAGAAAACTGTAAATAATGCACATTTATTATATTTTTTAGCTTTTATCTGCGTATGTGGGAGTCGTAGTTAGAGTCTGGCTGTTCTTTAAAGTCTCTCCTTTCACACTTCGGGCTGCTGCCTCTCAGTTCGGCCTCTCTGACCCACAGGTCAAAGGTCAGGGCCTAAATAAAACCGCCAGAATGACCCCGGTGTCACGATGCCTCTGAGCTGTATCACACGTGTTTAACGCGTTTAGTTACACGTCCTTTACTTTCCGAACCCTATTTTCGGTGGGTGTGAGGGTTCTGCATAGACCAGCCAAGGAGACGTCAAATAATTTCCAAAAATAATCGTAATTTATGTCAAAAATGAGGTCCAAAATGGGCCCAAAAACTGAGGTCACCATAACAAAATGTAACTCAAGTGGTAACAAAAGAAACTCAAGCACAAAACTGACCCCCCAAACAATACATGAGGGAAACTTAAATAGTGGGAAACTTAAATAATGGGAGACTTAAATAGTGGCGGATCAAACCACTTCTAACACACACAGGGGGGTAACTAAACACACAAGAACCTAACAAATATTAGTGAGATTATTATTAAATCTTTAAATTAAATAAATATCAAATTTAACCTAACTTTCAAAAAGAAGAAACATTAAATGAATAGTCAAAATAAACTAGAAACCCAAATATGGACCTCAGTCAGCCAGGGGCAGGTCCAAAGGAAACTAATAACCCAAAAGGAAGAAGTTAAATAGTTGTCTTTAACAAAAAATACAAAGAACTGACAAATAAAGTTAACTAAATGTGTGCACTTCAAACAGTTAACTCAAAAAGTCAGACTACTAAAAATGATTTCAAAGATATAGATAAATCTAAACTAAACACTAATTAATATATGTAAAGTAACAAAGTAGAACTACTTAAGTACTGTACTTAACCCTTTATAGGGCACTTAATGAAATACTTTAAAATTAAAAAAATCAACCTTACTGTGTTATTGGACAACATAATAAGACTTTATTCCAATTGTGAAATTTTTGAAAAAAAAATGATTTTCACGTTGAAAATGTAGTTAAATGAAGTTACCATATTTGGTAACTTGCCCTTTTAGTGGTAAAAAATGTCACGGCCAATGAAGTGATCAAATTTGGTTACTTGCCTCTAAGTGGGAAAACAAATTCCAATAAGTATACATAGATAAAAAATACATATAACACCAGCACCAGGCTGGTGAAAATGTTATCAGACTGTTTTTGTTAATTTCCCCACATGTTAGTTATCCCGTCTCAGTGAGTTCTAGAATAATTTTATCTTTATTTTTATCTTTAACCACGGTCACGTCAAATTTCTCTTTTTCTCCAAAGTCAGAAAAAAGAGCGACCAAAATGCAGTATCTGTACTTTATTGGAGTATATATATTTTTTTTTTACCTACTTTTACTTTTACTCCACCACATACTTTTGTTTAATTTAATACTTTTACTTTTACTTTTACTTTTTACTCGTTACTGATATGTAAACGTAATGAACTGTTGATTGCTAATGCATATGTAGTTTTTATTTTTTGGAAACCCCTTTATGGCCTTTTATAGTTGTACTGCTTCAGCCAGGTAGTGTGTCTATTATTCAAGTATCAAATGGACATTTATTTGATATTAAATGTTAACTGTTTATAGTTTTATCCCTTTTCACACTTCTCTTAAAAAAAAATCCAGCCGTTTTTTAAAACGTGGCAGTTTTAAAATC